CGTAGTCCTGTCGTCGCCTCCCGATGTAGCCCATAGTCGTTTCCCGCCGTGGCTCGTAGTCCCGTCGTCTTGTTGCCGTTAGCCCTCGCCGCGTTCCGTCCCGCTGTAGTTCCGCCGCTTTCCGTCCCGTTGTAGTTCCGCCGTGGCCCGTAGTCCTGTCGTCGCCTCCCGATGTAGCCCGTAGTCGGTTCCCGTCGTCTTGTTGCCGTTAGCCCTCGCCGCGTTCTGCCCCGCTGTAGTTCCGCCGCGTTCCGTCCCGCTGGAGTTCCGCCGTGTAGCCCGTAGTCGTTTCGCGCCGTGGCTCGTAGTCCCGTCGTCTTGTTGCCGTTAGCCCGTAGTCCCGTCGCCTTGTTGCCGTTAGCCCTCGCCGCGTTCCGTCCCGCTGTAGTTCCACCGTGGCCCGTAGTCCTGTCGTCGCCTCCCGATTTAGCCCGTAGTCGTTTCCCGCCGTGGCTCGTAGTCCCGTCGTCTTGTTGCCGTTAGCCCGTCGTCTGGTTGCCATTAGCGCTCGCCGCGTTTCGACCCGCTGTAGTTCCGCCGTGGCCCGTAGTCCTGTCGTCGCCTCCCGATGTAGCCCATAGTCGTTTCCCGCCGTGGCTCGTAGTCCCGTCGTCTTGTTGCCGTTAGCCCGTAGTCCCGTCGCCTTGTTGCCGTTAGCCCTCGCCGCGTTCCGTCCCGCTGTAGTTCCACCGTGGCCCGTAGTCCTGTCGTCGCCTCCCGATTTAGCCCGTAGTCGTTTCCCGCCGTGGCTCGTAGTCCCGTCGTCTTGTTGCCATTAGCGCTCGCCGCGTTCCGACCCGCTGTAGTTCCGCCGCGTTATGTCCCGCTGTAGTTCCGCCGTGGCCCGTAGTCCTGTCGTCGTTCCCGATGTAGCCCGTAGTCGTTTCCCGATGTAGCCCGTAGTCGTTTCCCGCCGTGGGTCGTAGTCCTGTCGCCTTGTTGTCGTTAGCCCTCGCCGCGTTCCGTCCCGCTGGAGTTTCGCCGCGTTCCGTCCCGTTGTAGTTCCGCCGTGGCCCGTAGTCCTGTCGCCTTGTTGCCGTTAGCCCTTGCCGCGTTCTGTCCCGTTGTAGTTCTGCCGTGACCCGTAGTCCTGTCGTCTTGCTGTTGTTAGCCCTCGCCGCGTTCCGTCCCGCTGTTGTTCCGCCGCGTTCTGTCCCGCTGTAGTTCCGCCGTGGCCCGTAGTCCTGTCGCCTTGTTGCCGTTAGCCCTCGCCGCGTTCTGTCCCGCTGTAGTTCCGCCGTGGCCCGTAGTCCTGTCGTCGTTCCCGATGTAGCCCGTAGTCGTTTCCCGATGTAGCCCGTAGTCGTTTCCCGCCGTGACTCGTAGTCCCGTCGTCTTGCCGTTAGCCCTCGCCGCGTTCCGTCCCGCTGTAGTTCCGCCGCTTTCCGTCCCGTTGTAGTTCCGCCGTGGCCCGTAGTCCTGTCGTCGCCTCCCGATGTAGCCCGTAGTCGGTTCCCGCCGTGACTCGTAGTTCCCGTCGTCTTGTTGCCGTTAGCCCTCGCCGCGTTCTGCCCCGCTGTAGTTCCGCCGCGTTCCGTCCCGCTGGAGTTCCGCCGTGTAGCCCGTAGTCGTTTCGCGCCGTGGCTCGTAGTCCCGTCGTCTTGTTGCCGTTAGTTCCGTCGTCTTGTTGCCGTTAGCCCTCGCCGCGTTCTGTCCCGCTGTAGTTCCGCCGTGGCCCGTAGTCCTCTCGTCGCCTCCCGATGTAGCCCGCAGTCGTTTCCCGCCGTGGCTCGTAGTCCCGTCGCCTTGTTGCCGTGAGCTCGTAGTCCCGTCGCCTTGTTGCCGTGAGCCCGTAGTCCCGTCGCCTTGTTGCCGTGAGCCCGTAGTCCCGTCGCCGTTAATCCACGCCTTGTTCCGTCCAGTTGTAGTTCCGCTGTGGCCCGTAGTCCTGTCGTCGCCTCTCGATGTAGCCCGTAGTCGTTTCCCGCCGTGTGTCGTAGTCCTGTCGTCGCCTTCCGATGTAGCTCGTAGTCGTTTCCCGCCGAGACTCGTAGTCCCGTCGTCTTGTTGCGTTGGCAGTAGTCCCTTCGTCTTGTTGCCGTTAGCCCGTAGTCCCGTCGTCTTGTTGCCCTTAGCCCTCGCCGCGTTCCGTCCCGCTGTAGCCCGTAGTCCTGTCGTCGCCTCTCGATGTAGCCCGTAGTCGTTTCCCGCCGTGGCTCGTAGCTCCGTCATCTTGTTGCCGTTAGCCCTCGCCGTGTTACGTCCCGCTGTAGTTCCGCCGTAGCCCGTAGTCCTGTCGTCGTTTCCCGCCGTAGCTCGTAGTCCCAGTTAGCCCTAGTCACGTTACACCGTTCCATCCCGCTCTAGTTCCACCGTGGCCCATACCCTGACGTCGCCTTCAGATGTAGCCCGTAATCCCGTCGTCTTCTTGCTTCATGTTGCCGTTAGCCCTCGCCGCGTTAGACCGTTCTGTCGCGCTGTAGTTCCGCCGTGGCCCGTAGTCCTGTCGTCGCCTCCCGATGTAGCCCGTAGTCGTTTCCCGCCATGGCTCGTAGTCCCGTCGTCTTGTCGTTAGCTTTTGCCGCGATACACCGTAGTCCTGTCGTCGCCTCCCGATGTAGCCCGTAGTCGTTTCCCGCCGTGGCTCGTAGTCCCGTCGTCTTGTTGCCGTTATCCCTCGCCGCGTTCCGTCCCGCTGTAGTTCCGCCGTGCCCCTGTCGTCGCCTCCGGATATAGCCCATAGTCGTTTTGCGCCGTGGCTCGTACTCCCATCATCTAACTGCCTTCATCTTGACGTTAACCCTCGCCGCGTGTCACCGTTCCGTCCCGGTGTTGTCCGTAGTCCTGTCGTCGTTTCCCGCCGTGGCTCGTAGTCTCGTCTCTCGACGTCTTGTTGCCGTTAGCCCTCGACACGTTACACCGTTCCGTCCCGCTATAGTTCCGCCGTGGCCCGTAGTCCTGTCGCCGCCTCCCGATGTAGCCCGTAGTCGTTTTGCGCCGTGCCTCGTAGTTCCATCATCTTGTTGAATTCGTGTTGCTGTTACCCCTCGCCAAGTTGCACCGTTCCGCCCCGCTTTAGTTCCGCCATGGCCTCTTGTCCCGTCGTCTTATTTGCCGTCGTGGCCCGTGGTAGTCTTTTTCCCGTCGAGGCCTTGCAATTTCGCCGTAGTTCGTAGTCCCGTCGCCATCATTCTGCCGTAATAACCCTCGCCTTGTTACACCGTCCCGCCCTGTTGTAGTTCCGCCGTGGTTCGTGTTTTCTCACCGTGCCCCGTACTTGTTTCCATGGTTCGTAGTACCGTCGCCTTCTTTCCACCGTGGTAGGTAGTCACGTCATCTAGTCGCGCCGCTGAATAAAAGAAACAGAACAGCTATAAGACTTGTTTTTTTAATCTCAGTTTGGAAGTATGAATGTCATCCCATGAATCATTTCAGTTAGACCAGTTTCTACCGGACGGAAATATCTAAAGTCTGTACATACATATTGGCTCAGTTTGAGAAAGTGCACCACACATCGGCCAAAACGTTTTCACATGCATCATGCAAAAGATATATCTATCCATCGGGAACACAGCGCTTTGGTAGCGTCGTTGTATCATATTTGCCGCGATTAATTTACACGTATTTTTTTCGGGAACTTGTGTGCATAAGAGGTTTAAATGTTGAATTTTATTATAGGTAGAACCTTAAAACAGTTATGACGAATGTCACGTGATCAGTATCAACTGTGTTCGGTCTGTATTTACCACGGAATGTGATATTTATTGAGCATGTATCCTGGACGTCAGTAATTACTGCTGTATAAGGTAAGTAGAAACCCACCAAGGCTGATAAAAGTGTGAAGTTTCGTTGAAGTAAATTCTTTCAATTATCCCACGCTGTGGTTAAAACCTACCATTCCACTGACGTGCTGTCCGCTCCCTCTGTGGTTTGCCCTCGCGTCCTTCAGTGATGCGCTGCCTGGTGGTCTCTAGATGGTATGGACGTCCTGTCGTGAGTGGTGTACCATTTTTTGGTCCCAAGGTTTATGTTCGGTCCAATCCTTCAGAGATGCGCCACTCGCTGCATCAATGGTGTCGTCCTCTCTAGTCCCCCATATGGTGTGTCAGTCGGTGCCCCATGGTGGCAGTCAGTCCTCCGTGATGTTGCCTCTGGTCCCTCCATGGTATGCTGTCCAGTTCCTAAAGGTGTAGCGCTCTGTGCTTTGTAGCTATTTTCCTAGTTTTCAGTTTCTATCTTCGCCTTCCATCTTTCATTAGTGTTAGGAATTTTTCATATTTCGTGTAGTACACGACCTAAACATAAACTCAAAAGATTTCCATATTTCTTACCCATTACATCTTCGGAATTCTAACAGCCAGTAATTATCTGCAAGGTTTGCCATCAGCCTCTCTCTGATCTGATTGCCTCGTTGTTACAGTTGTTCATTCAAAGTGCTTCTTTATTTTGTGCCGTTCTGACCCGCGAATGTTCAATTCTGCTTCTGTACTTCTCCGACATTGTTGGATGACCAACGAGTAGGTCCCCTTTGAAGACATTCATATTGTGAAGTCGCGATTCAACTGTGTGGGGATTGAAACAATACTTATGGATTGCACGACATTCATATGATCAAATTTGCATTAATAAATGAAATTACACAATCATAATCAAAGTTTAGTTGAACACCTGAACTTAGAATAAAAATTGCTAATTATACATCCATTTCACTCTTCGATTTGTAACTGTTTCCTCGAAGCTTTAGCAGGTCTCAGTGAAGATTTTGTTAAACTACTTTTGTGTTTTGATTTTTCCATTTTCTGTCCTTTTAACCTTGTTTCGAATTTTGCAGGTATTGCCGATAATACCGATGCTTTAGGGGTCCATTACTGTTCTTCAATACTTATGGTTACCTAATAAAACAGAAGTTTGGACGCCCATTATAACCCTTACCTACACCGTTGATGGGGCTTTGCCTAACTCCAGCTTATCATTTATTTTTAAAATCCTCACATTTTCAGTCATTCTTGCGTTATTTGTTCATAATTGTATCTTGTCAATTCCTATTGTAAAGTCGCTTATTATGTAGATCTGTTCTGGATTCTTACTTCAGTATCAGTTCTCATTCCGCTTGAAGAAATTCGTGACTTCTCATCTTGTATAGGGTACTTGTCTGTGGTTTTCTGCAAACAGTGAAAAATGTGGGAAATGCGCAGCTAATAATGATTACTTTGGAAAAAGACAAAATGAACCAATTAGCGACATTATTTTTCATGACACCTCAACAAACGAATAGTATAGTAAGAGATATGTAGAAATATTGATTCACATACCTAAATCTTGTTTTGGTCAGTTGTATCTTAAAATACAATCCAGTCTTCTGACTAATTCATTAATTTCTTTTCCGCCATGTTTAATATCGTGTTTCTCAATTTTCTTCTGGTCCTATGAATCATATTTGTCTTGACTATTATCCTTCGTTTTTTCTCAACTGCTGCAATTTCTATCCTTCTATTACCTTCTGTACTTGATGGCTATCCCTTCTGTTCACTAGATGAGGTGGGGATGGGATACTTGAAGCCTTATTTTCATTATTTCCGAACTTTCCTATATTCAAGCATTTGCTACCTAAAATCTCATCTTGATTCTTGCTGGCCTGGTACTCGACCTCCAGAGGTTGTGTTCTTCTGACAGCATAAAGTTGCTTGACCTATGGATGCAAGTTCAAAACTTCCAGCATATTCTTACCCATGTTACATCTGATCTTCCAATTTGTTTTTCAGTGTTTAAATTCTTGTAATCTGCGTCATAGTCTCTCTTGTTACTACTCGGAATGCCCTGTTATTGTTATTCACACACGTCGCCACACAGCTTTCCGGCTTTTACCTTTCTAAAATACACTTCAATTTTTTCTGAAGGAAGTCATTTTTTTGGTGTCAACTGGAACAATAATAGAATTTGTTTTGCACTGCTCCCCCTTCCCCTTCAAATGTCATACAGTATATAAGCATTTGTTACCGCTTTCATTGCTGAATGGACTCAAAATCGAATTTCTAAGCACATACATAAAAAATGTCTTTATAGAAAAAAAAATAGATAATTTTACTCCTCCCCCCTCCAAAATCAAAATATATCTGAAGTGTCTTACTTTGACCTGAAGATGAAATCCTTTCTCGTGTCCAGATTCTTCATTTTACCTAATAATAATGTGGGAAAAGATTCAACCACAACAGGTCGTAGATTTCTGAAAATATATAAATTGTTGTGTGCCCCTTTCCCATATTTCTTAATGAACAAGATAAAACGCCTTACTGTGAGCGTGTATGTAAACTTCAAACATCAGCGAGGTCATGTTCTTTCAGTTCTTAACCAGACTCTTATGCAGATTTGAAGATGTTTGTTTTTTCTAGAAAATATCTTCCACGTATTATTGATGTTGCAGGTTTTTTTTCTTAAGTCGAGGTTAACCTGGTAAAACAATCTTGAAATGCAGATATAAACCCTTACCTCATGCTGTTCATATATGAATTGCAATCACAATGCTCTGCTGAATATTCACTCTTCTCATGCCTCTTTTTCATGCGCTTGTACTGCTTTCTTTAAAATGCTTTTTGATATTCAGTTGGGTCGTACGTTTTGCCGCTTTCACGTGCTCAAAACAGCCATCATTGATATTACCTCTCAATTACTTTTGTGGCATCACTAGCAGATTTTGGGGTTCTCAGAACCAGTTCCTCAAATTCGCGACTCTCTCTATGCCTAATGTTCAACTTCTAATTTACATCACTTTTCCTGGGTCCTCAGATGAGTAACTGCTGTCTGAAAAATATAGATGTTGCTCCCCCCTCCCCTCCAATACTTTTCTTATTGAGAAACTACAAGCATCTTACTTCATGCGAAGATGGTCAGATAAACGCCTTGTTTCATTTTAGAAGGTTCCTCTTGATATGATATACAGGATTCGCAACCCAATTGCATTATGGCAAGGCACACAAATTATCATAGGACAGGACCTGAAAAATACAGATTTGCTGCTCCCCCCTCCCCCGCAACGTATTTCATATTGAGAAACTAAGATCTTACTTGTCGCGAAGATGGTTGATCAAATGTTTTGTCTCAATTTAGAAGCTTCCTCTTCACAAGACACGAGAGGGATTCATACCATAGCACGTAAGAAAAAGTGTTATTAATATCTGAAAAAAATAAGATTTGTTGCTTGCTACCCCCGTTCCCCGCTTCCTAGTATGCTAAATAGTAGTTCATTTTCATTTTTACTCTTCCCATTATGAATAAGGTTATGTAACAGGCTTTCTCCAAATACGACAGGTTCTAGAAAAATACAGAAGATTGTTTCAACCCCTCCCCCCAAGAAATACAGTAGAAAATAGAATTTCAGAGCATCTTTACGCTAGAATTCGAAGATAGACATCAGGTTCTTCAGACACAAAGTAATTCGGAACAGAGTTAATGAGTGAAAGACTTTAAACATCAGTCCTCATGTTATCCTCTTTCGGTTTCAGGTCAAACGATCATGCAGATCTCGATTTCTGTTTTTGCCCAAGTATCATACAGGTTATATCGATGTTTCACGTTTTGTGATTCTCTTCAGTATTGGGTAACCTGGTAAAACAATCTTGAAATGCAGATATAAACCTTTACCTCATGCTGTTCATATATGAATTACAACCTACAATGCTTTGCTGAATCTTCACTGTTCTCATGCCTCTTTTTCTTGCGCTTGCACTGCTTTCTTTAAAATCCTTTTTGATATTTGGTTGGGTCGTACGTTTTGCCGCTTTCACGTGTTCAAAAAAGCCATCATTGATATTACCGTTATTCCTCTCAGTTACTTTTGTACCATCATTAGCAGATTTTGGGGTTCTCAGAACCAGTTCCTCAAATTCGCGACTCCTGGGTCCTCAGATGAGTAAATGCTCTCTGAAAAATATAGATGTTGCTGCTCCCTCCCCCCTCCAATACTGTTCTGATTGAGAAAGCATCTTCTTCATGCGAAGATGGTCAGATAAACACCTTTTTTCATTTTAGAAGCTTCCTCTTGATAAGATATGCAGGATTCGCAACTCAATTGGATAATGCCGAGGCACACACATTAGCATAGCCAGAACTACCTGAAAAATACAGATTTGCTGCCCCCCCTCCCCCGCAACGTATTTCATATTCAGAAACTGTAAGATCTTACTTGTCGCGAAGATGGTTGATCAGACGTTTTGTCTCAATTTAGAAGCATCCCTCTACACAAGACACGAGGGATTCATAACATAGCACGTAAGAAAAAGTGTTATTAATATCTGAAAAAAATAAGATTTGTTGCTTCCTACCCCCGTTCCCCGCTTCCTAGTATGCTAAATAGTAGTCCATTTTCATTTTTACTCTTCCCATTATGAATAAGGTTATGTAACAGGCTTTCTCCATATACGACAGGTTGTAGAAAAATACAGAAGATTGTTTCAACCCCTCCCCCCAAGAAATACAGTAGAATATAGAAGCAGAGCATCTTACGCGAGAATTCGAAGATAGACATCCGGTTCTTCAGACATAATTCGGAAGCGAGTTAAAGTGTGCAAAACTTTAAACAACAGTCCTCATGTTATCCTCTTTCGGTTTCAAGTCAAACTATCATGCAGATCTCGATTTTTGTTTTTGCCAAAATATCATCCAGGTTATATCGATGTTTCAGGTTTTGTGATTCTCTTCAGTAATGGGTAACCTGGTAAAACAATCTTGAAATGCAGATATAAACCCTTACCTCATGCTGTTCATATATGAATTGCAATCACAATGCCCTGCTGAATCTTCACTGTTCTCATGCCTCTTTTTCATGCGCTTGTACTGCTTTCTTTAAAATCCTTTTTGATATTCGGTTGGGTCGTACGTTTTGCCGCTTTCACGTGCTCAAAACAGCCATCATTGATATTACCGTTATTCCTCTCAGTTACTCTTGTGACATCACCAGCAGATTTTGGGGTTCTCAGAACCAGTTCCTCAAATTCGCGACTCTATGCCTAAGGTTCAACATCTAATTTACATAAATCACTTTTCCTGGGTCCTCAGATGAGTAACTGCTCTCTGAAAAATATAGATGTTGCTCCCCCCTCCCCTCTAATACTTTTCTTATTGAGAAACTAGAAGCACCTTCATGCGAAGATGGTCAGATAAACGCCTTTTTTCATTTTAAAAGCTTCCTCTTGATAAGATATGCAGGATTCGCAACTCAATTGCATAATGTCGAGGCACACAAATTAGCATAGGACAGAACTACCTGAAAAATACAGATTTGCTGCTCCCCCTCCCCCGCAACGTATTTCATATTCAGAAACTGTAAGATCTTACTTTTCGGGAAGATGGTTGATTTAGAAGCTTCCTCTTCACAAGACACGAGCGATTCAACAAGGATTCATAACATAGCACGTAAGAAAAAGTGTAATTAATATCTGAAAAAAATAAGATTTGTTGCGTCCTACTCCCGTTCCCCGCTTCCTAGTATGCTAAATAGTAGTTCATTTTCATTCTTACTCTTCCCATTATGAATAAGGTTATGTAACAGGCTTTCTCCAAATACGACAGGTTCTAGAAAAATACAGAAGATTATTTCAACCCCTCCCCCCAAGAAATACAGTAGAAAATAGAATTTCAGAGCATCTTACGCTAGAATTCGAAGATAGAAATCAGGTTCTTCAGACACAAAGTAATTCGGAACAGAGTTAATGAGTGAAAGACTTTAAACATCAGTCCTCATGTTATCCTCTTTCGGTTTCAGGTCAAACGATCATGCAGATCTCGATTTTTGTTTTTGCCCAAGTATCATACAGGTTATATCGATGTTTCACGTTTTGTGATTATCTTCAGTTTTGGTAACCTGGTAAAACAATCTTGAAATGCAGATATAAACCCTTACCTCATGCTGTTCATATATGAATTGCAACCACAATGCTTTGCTGAATCTTCACTGTTCACATGCCTCTTTTTCATGCGCTTGCACTGATTTCTTTAAAATCCTTTTTGATATTTGGTTGGGTCGTACGTTTTGCCGCTTTCACGTGTTCAAAAAAGCCATCATTGATATTACCGTTATTCCTCTTGGTTACTTTTGTACCATCACTAGCAGATTTTGGGGTTCTCGGAACCAGTTCCTCAAATTCGCGACTCTCTCTATGCCTAATGTTCAACTTCTAATTTACATCACTTTTCCTGGGTCCTCAGATGAGTAAAATGCTCTCTGAAAAATATAGATGTTGCTCCCCCCTCCCCTCCAATACTTTTCTGATTGAGAAACTACAAGCATCTTACTTCATGCGAAGATGGTCAGATAAACGCCTTTTTTCATTTTAGAAGCTTCCTCTTGATAAGATTTGCAGGATTCGCAACTCAATTGCATAATGCCGAGGCACACACATTAGCATAGGACAGGACCTGAAAAATACAGATTTGCAGCTCCCCCCTCCCCCGCAACGTATTTCATATTGAGAAACTAAGATCTTACTTGTCGCGAAGATGTTTTGTCTCAATTTAGAAGCTTCCTCTTCACAAGACACGAGCGATTCAACAAGGATTCATAACATAGCACGTAAGAAAAAGTGTAATTAATATCTGAAAAAAATAAGATTTGTTGCGTCCTACTCCCATTCCCCGCTTCATAGTATGCTAAATAGTAGTTCATTTTCATTTTTACTCTTCCCATTATGAATAAGGTTATGTAACAGGCTTTCTCCAAATACGACAGGTTCTAGAAAAATACAGAAGATTGTTTCAACCCCTCCCCCCAAGAAATACAGTAGAAAATAGAATTTCAGAGCATCTTACGCGAGAATTCGAAGATAGACATCAGGTTCTTCAGACACAATTCGGAAGCGAGTTAACGTGTGCAAAACTTGCCAAAATATCATCCAGGTTATATCGATGTTTCAGGTTTTGTGATTCTCTTCAGTAATGCCTGGTAAAACAATCTTGAAATGTAGATATAAACCCTTACCTCATGCTGTTCATATATGAATTGCAACCACAATGCTTTGCTGAATCTTCACTGTTCGCATGCCTCTTTTTCATGTGCTTGCACTGATTTCTTTAAAATCCTTTTTGATATTTGGTTGGGTCGTACGTTTTGCCGCTTTAACGTGCTCAAAACAGCCATCATTGATATTACCGTTATTCCTCTCAGTTACTTTTGTAGCATCACTAGCAGATTTTGGGGTTCTCGGAACCAGTTCCTCAAAGTCGCGACTCTCTCTCTAATGTTCAACTTCTAATTTACATAAATCACTTTTCCTGGGTCCTCAGATGAGTAACTGCTCTCTGAAAAATATAGATGTTGCTCCCCCCTCCCCTCCAATACTTTTCTTATTGAGAAACTACAAGCATCTTACTTCATGCAAAGATGGTCAGATAAACGCCTTTTTTCATTTTAGAAGCTTCCTCTTGATAAGATATGCACGAATCGCAGCTCAATTGCATAATGTGGAGGCACACAAATTAGCATAGGCCAGAACTACCTGTAAAATACAGATTTGCTGCTCCCCCTCCCCCGCAACGTATTTCATATTGAGAAACTGTAAGATCTTACTTGTCGCGAAGATGGTTGATCAAACGTTTTGTCTCAATTTAGAAGCTTCCTCTTCACAAAACACGAGGGATTCACCAAGGATTCATAACATAGCACGTAAGAAAATATATAATATCTGAAAAAAAATAAGATTTGTCGCTTCCTACCCCCGTTCCCCGCTTCCTAGTATGCTAAATAGTAGTTCATTTTCATTCTTAATCTTCCCATTATGAATAAGGTTATGTAAAAGGCTTTCTCCAATTACGACAGGTTCTAGAAAAATACAGAAGATTGTTTCAACCCCTCCCCCCAAGAAATACAGTAGAAAATAAAATTTCAGAGCATTTTACGCTAGAATTCGAAGATAGACATCAGGTTCTTCAGACACAAAGTAATTCGGAACAGAGTTAACGTGTGCAGTCCTCATGTTATCCTCTTCCGGTTTCAGGTCAAACTATCATGCAGATCTCGATTTTTATGTTTGCCAAAATATCATCCAGGTTATATCGATGTTTCAGGTTTTGTGATTATCTTCAGTATTGGGTAACCTGGTAAAACAATCTTGAAATGCGGATATAAACCCTTACCTCATGCTGTTCATATATGAATTGCAACCACAATGCTTTGCTGAATCTTCACTGTTCACATGCCTCTTTTTCATGCGCTTGCACCGATTTCTTTAAAATCCTTTTTGATATTTGGTTGGGTCGTACGTTTTGCCGCTTTCACGTGCTCAAAACAGCCATCATTGATATTACCGTTATTCCTCTCGGTTACTTTTGTACCATCACTAGCAGATTTTGGGGTACTCGGAACCAGTTCCTCAAATTCGCGACTCTCTCTATGCCTAATGTTCAACTTCTAATTTACATCACTTTTCCTGGGTCCTCAGATGAGTAACTGCTCTCTGAAAAATATAGATGTTGCTCCCCCCTCCCCTCCAATACTTTTCTTATTGAGAAACTACAAGCACCTTACTTCATGCGAAGATGGTCAGATAAACGCCTTTTTTCATTTTAAAAGCTTCCTCTTGATAAGATATGCAGGATTCGCAACTCAATTGCATAATGTCGAGGCACACAAATTAGCATAGCCCAGAACTACCTGAAAAATACAGATTTGCTGCTCCCCCTCCCCCCAACGTATTTCATATTCAGAAACTAAGATCTTACTTTTCGGGAAGATGGTTGATCAAACGTTTTGTCTTAATTTAGAAGCTTCCTCTTCACAAGACACGAGCGATTCAACAAGGATTCATAACATAGCACGTAAGAAAAAGTGTAATTAATATCTGAAAATAAAATAAGTTTTGTTGCGTCCTACTCCCGTTCCCCGCTTCATAGTATGCTAAATAGTAGTTCATTTTCATTTTTACTCTTCCCATTATGAATAAGGTTATGTAACAGGCTTTCTCCAAATACGACAGGTTCTAGAAAAATACAGAAGATTGTTTCAACCCCTCCCCCCAAGAAATACAGTAGAAAATAGAATTTCAGAGCATCTTACGCGAGAATTCGAAGATAGACATCCGGTTCTTCAGACACAATTCGGAAGCGAGTTAACGTGTGCAAAACTTTAAACATCAGTCCTCATGTTATCCTCTTTCGGTTTCAAGTCATACTATCATGCAGATCTCGATTTTTGTTTTTGCCAAAATATCATCCAGGTTATATCGATGTTTCAGGTTTTGCGATTTTCTTCAGTAATGCCTGGTAAAACAATCTTGCAATGCAGATATAAACCCTTACCTCATGCTGTTCATATATGAATTGCAATCACAATGCTCTACTGAATCTTCATTGTTCTCATGCCTCTTTTTCATGCGCTTGTTCTGCTTTCTTTAAAATCCTTTTTGATATTCGGTTGGGTCGTACGTTTTGCCGCTTTCACGTGCTCAAAACAGCCATCATTGATATTACCGTTATTCCTCTCAGTTACTTTTGTACCATCACTAGCAGATTTTGGGGTTCTCAGAGCCAGTTCCTCAAATTCGCGACTCTATGCCTAATGTTCAACTTCTAATTTATATAAATCACTTTTCCTGGGTCGTCAAATGAGTAACTGCTCTCTGAAAAATATAGATGTTGCTCCCCCCTCCCCTCCAATACTTTTCTTATTGAGAAACTACAAGCATCTTACTTCACGCGAAGATGGTCAGATAAACGCCTTTTTTCATTTTAGAAGCTTCCTCTTGATAAGATATGTAGGATTCGCAACTCAATTGCATAATGTCGAGGCACACAAATTAGCATAGGACAGAACTACCTGAAAAATACAGATTTGC